CCTATTCCACTTCTGACCAGTGTCAGTGGTTAGAACAATTCCTTCCTGTCTAGCCACAATCTGTCCCTCAGGTTTCTCCACTCCCGGAACCAGTTCTGCCCTCTGACACAAAGTGGGAGGGAGATAGCTTTGAACAGAAGTTGTTGCTGTGGTTGCTGGCTACCTTTCCCAGGGAGCCAGGCCACACAGCGTGCAGCCAAAATGAGCCCCCAGGAAGAGACATCCTTGGAGTCAGTGCTGCATAACAGTAGGCTATGTGTCTACCACCTCCCATCCCTGCCTCCCCTTTTAAAACTTTCCCCTAACATCTGGGCATGAACTCTGCAAATGCCCTTTTGGTTTTGCTTTGTCCACCCTCCTGATGTCCTGGCTCCCCGGGCTGGGTCATCCAGTCTCCCAGACCAAAGTGGAAGCAGCCAGCCCACCTATCCTTCTTCCCCAAATACTCCTTCCTCCTCCCCTCCTCCACTTCAACCCTGCCTGCCCATCATCTGGCCCATTACCCTGGGACTCCTAGAAGTTACAGTCTGTGGCCTACAAACTCCCCTATATTGTTGGCCTTTTTGAGCAACATTCTTTCACTGTAAGGGAAACCTAACCTCCCTGCTCCCTCAGAGCAGAGGATAACAATACTTCTCTGGAGCAAATGGGGAGGATCAGTAGAGTGGCACCTTAGAAACACAAAATTTCTACACTGGATGTAGAGCATAAGTGTTGTGGACCAAAGATGGGCAGAGGAGGAAAGGCTATGCAGCCACCAGAGGTCGCTTAGCCTAAGAAATGCCTCCTATGAATCGAAAGGGCAAATGGGCATTCTAAATCTTCAACCCTGGGCAATAACCTAGTTTCCCCAGCCTAGTTCAGGCTCTCCTTTACCTTGCTAACAATCTACTCAGAATTTCTGAGGTGGATGGAACAGCAGTATTGCAAACTGCAGGCCTTTGCCTAGGCATAGGCAGTACCTAGAGCTGAAGACTCTCCCTCCTCACCTGAGCATCATCAGATCCCTCCCTCCCTTCAAAGCCCAGGCCAGATGACTCCCAGGGGGACTTGCTTGATCCAGACAGTAATGCTCTTCACTCAGCAAAAGGAGAGAGTATTTATTCTCCATATATTTTGCACACACGCACACATCCCCCCGCCCCCACACGCACACGTTGCTTCCTCTCCGTGCTTTGGTCCCCAACACAGTTCCTTTAGGGCATCAACTGTTTAATTTTGCTTTATATCCCCAGAACCATGTACCCTGTAGGCGCTTAATAAATGCTTTAGAAATATCATTACATTGGGGCAGCTAGGTGGCGCAGTGGATAGAGCACCGGCCCTGAAGTCAGGAGGACCTGAGTTCAAATCCGGCCTCAGACCAAACACTTGACACTTACTAACTGTGTGACCCTGGACAAGTCACTTAACCCCAATTGCCTCACTAAAAAAAAAACTAATATCATTACGTTGTATACAGTGAGATGAAAGAGATGCTTATTCCTTGCTTTTTACTGAACAACCAGCTAGATGCAGAAAGCACTCTGTTCTCCCCATACACATAGGTATGTGTGTGTGAGAGTGTATGTAGAAGCGTCACATGTTATACAGGCAATATTCCCTAGCTGTTTCTGGCTGAGCAAAAGTGAGCCGGGGCCTGGCTTCTGTCCAAAAGGAGTTCTTTTAGGGCATGAAATGTTTAATTTTTCTGTACATCCCTAAAACCAGGTATCCTGTAAGCACTTAATAAATGCTTTAAAAATATCATTAAATTGTATGCAGCCAGACTATAGATCCCCAGACCTATAGGAAAGAGATGCTTATTCCTTGCTTTTTACTGAACAACCAGCTAGATGCAGAAAGCACTCTGTTCTCCCCATACACACAGGTGTGTGTGTGTGTGTGTGTGTGTGCGCATGTATGTGTGAGTGTATGTAGAAGCGTCACCTGTGTGAAACAGGGAATATTCCCTGGATGTTTCTGGCTGAGCCAAAGGGAGCTGAGGGCTGGTTTCTGGCCACTTCTGGCCAGGTCAGGGCTGAATAGCTTGTAATTTTAGATGACAAGGTGTTCCCTAATTGGCTGCTGAGCTGAAAAAGCAAATGACTCTGTGGATGTACAAAAGGGAGCTGCCAGCTTCCTGCTTCTCTCCTCCTTTCTGACTGCCATCTTAGCTGTGACTCTCTCAGCGTCATGATGCCACTCTTGTGAGGGGTAGAAAATGATAGGTCCTTCTCCATCCTGGTGCCATGGCAACCACGCCCCTGCTCCCCATCTGCAGCACGGCCTCAGTGAAGCAAGCTTGCACTAGGGCCTCTGGCTGCCTCTGCGTCTTTTATGTTTGTTCTTTCTCGATCTTAGGTGAATGAGCATCCCATAGGACTGGTGACAACCTTGTGAGTTCCAAAAATCTAAAGATCTTGGGACCAATGAGGGGACTGGCTGGTCGCAGGAGCTGTACCATTTCCGGTTATTTCATTAAATGTTTTTAGTTTTCTCTCATCCATTCTTTCTTTCATGGTATGCATGGCTTTGCTTAGATTTTCTAGTTTCTGGGCTAGGAGTGGTGACACACTCCTGTAATATTGCTGCTGGGGAGGAGGGTGAAGGGGGGGAGGGGGAGAGCTGAGGTTGGTGGATCAATCGAGCTTGGGAATCCTGAGATGGGTGAGGGGAAGGTGAGGGGAATAATCCTTTATTATGTGCCAGGTACTGTGTTAAGGGCTTTTATGAATACATATTGGCTCATTTGATTTTCACAACGACACTGAAAGGTAAGTGCTATTATTATCCTATTTTACAGTTGAGGAAACTGACAGAGACATAGGTGAAGTGATTTGCCTAGGATTGTGCATCTAAGTAAGTGTCTGAGGCCAGAGGAGTCAGGCTTCCTGACTGCAGGCCCAGCGCTCCATCACTGAACCACCTGAGGCAGAAGGGCCAGTGCTGATCAGGTAGGTACACCTGTGTGAAACCAACATGGGGAGCTCCCTAGAGGAGGGCACAAGCAGGCTGGTGCAAGGGAAGCAAACGGGTTCTGGCCAGAAACAGAGTGTGGATTAGCGGTGGGTTCAGGCATCTGAATGTACGCAGCTGGACTCCCAGCCTGGGGAGATAGGGAGACCCAGTCTCAAAACCAACAAAAAGATGGTCCACTTTCAGTTCAAAATCATCAATCCTCATTTTCAGTTTTTTTTTTCATTAAGAACTGTAATCTCACTCTTTTTCTCTTCCTTCAGTTCCTTTCTTGAACTTTCCACCTATTGAGGCTCTCCAGTCCAGTGCATTCTCGTCTAGGATTCTAGTTGGAGTTTTGGCAGAAATATCTCTTGTTCTGGAGTTTCAAACTAAGATTTTCTTACCCCATCATATTTCTTTACTGTATTAGAAATTGTCTTTGCTCATTTCCTCTGTATTTTTACTGTTTTATTTTCCCCGCTGCAGTGGCTTCTTTGAAATGCTTTTGTTTCTATTACTAATTTTAATAATCGGTTCTCTCGGTTAAATGTGCTGCATTTCTAGGTACTCTGAGGTGGCAATGAGGAGCTAGGTGTGTATGTAAGTTGTTGCTAGATGTCTCAGTCCCATTCGTGTGAAGAAGAAAAGCTGATGCCCAGGGAAGGAAGGGGTAGAGGAACGGAGAAGGGCAGCGCTGAAAGTGTCCTCTGTAATGATCAAATACAACCTCCTACTCTTTACATAGGTAAAAAAAAATGAGGCTCAGAGAATGAACTTGGGAGCAGCTAAAGATAGAGCAGGAGGTGATATTAGAGAAGATAAGAGAACCTCACCATGCTACTGTAAAGGAAGACATGAAGACGGAAAGAAGGGCAGGTATATTAGATAAGAGTACTTGACAGGTGGAAGGCTTCTTAGTGGTAAAGCAAGTCAAAAAGGGCATTTTAAAAAATTAAATTAACTTAAATTTTGAAAGGACATTTTTCAAGTGAGGAAAGTGAGGCTTAAAGAGGGGAAGGAACTTGGAGGATTGGTGACAGATAGAATGAGAAGAAATATTCCAAATTGACCAAAGCCCAAATGGCCAAGATGCACTTACAGTAAATAGAGAGAAAACACAGACAATTCTCCCAAGTTACTGAGATCAATCATAGGCCAGCAGAACTGAGAACATGAAAGAAATGGAAGAAGACTGGCAAACTAATGAAATGCCAGAGACTGAACGAAATCCGTGAAAACCCAGAGAGTTGATTCAGTACCACGGGTTACTATAGCTAAAAGGGGAACTTTATTGCAGAAAGAAAAACTACAGAGCTCTCTTTATAAACTAAAATAGTAAAATTATGAGATGTGTGGGTGAATTGAGAAACAGGCTAGACAGATTCCCTGAGAGCCTCCTCAACCTGTCTCTGGAGTTGTAGGATCTGGGTGCAAATTTGGCTTCTGATTTTTACATAAGTGAGAGTGAGGGCCAGTCCTTTCCCCTCCCTGGGACTCAGTTTCCTCCCCTGTAAAAGAAGGAGGTTTTCCTAGATGACCTTCTGAGGCCCCTTCCAGCCTAACTCTGTCTTGCCCTAGCTGGGGGCAGAGCAGCACCTCTCCGCCTCTCTGCTCCTCCCCCACTGCTCTTCTCCCTCCCTGTGGGTGCCCCTCTGGCCCTCCCCTCCCACTGTCTCTGCACTTTCCCATTCCTTCTCCTGCATCCCCTTATCCCTAGGGGGCAGAGCAGCACCTCAGGCCCTCTCTGCTCCTCCCCCTGTACTCCTTTCCCTCCCTGTGGGTGACCCTCTGACCCTCCCCTCCCCCTCTCTCCGCCCCTTCCTGTGCCCTCTCCTGCATCCCCTAGGGGGCAGAGCAGCATCTCTGGGCCTCTCTGCTCCTCCCCCTGTGCTCCTCTCCCTCCCTGTGCATGACGCTCTGACCCTCCCCTCCCCCTCTCTCCGCCCCTTCCTGTGCCCTCTCCTGCATCCCCTAGGGGGCAGAGCAGCACCTCTGGCCCTCTCTGCTCCTCCCCCTCTGCTCCTCTCTCTCCCTTTGGGTGCCCCTCTGACCCTTCCCTCCCACTCTCTCCGCCCCTTCCTGTGCCCTCTCCTGCATCCCCTAGGGGGCAGAGCAGCACCTCAGGACCTGTCCGCTCCTCCCCCTGTGCTCCTCTCCCTCCCTGTGGGTGCCCCTCTGGCCCTCCCCTCCCACTCTCTCCGCCCCTTCCCGTGCCCTCTCCTGCATTCCTTTATCCCTAGGGGGCAGAGCAGCACCTCAGGCCTCTCTGCTCCACCCCGTGCTCCTCTCCTTCCCTGTGGGTGACCCTCTGACCCTCCCCTCCCACTCTCTCCGCCCCTTCCTGTGCCCTCTTCTGCATCCCTTTATGCCTAGGGGGCAGAGAAGCACCTCTGGGCCTCTCTGCTTCTCCCCCTGTGCTCCTCTCCCTCCCTGTGGGTGACCCTCTGACCCTCCCCTCCCACTCCCTCCGCCCCTTCCTGTGCCCTCTCCTGCATCCCCTAGGGGCAGAGCAGCACCTCAGGCCTTCTCTGCTCCTCCCCCTGTGCTCCTCTCCCTCCCTGTGGGTGACCCTCTGACCCTCCCCTCCCACTCTCTCCGCCCCTTCCTGTGCCCTCTCCTGCATCCCCTAGGGGGCAGAGCAGCACCTCACGCCTTCTCTGCTCCTCCCCCTGTGCTCCTCTCCCTCCCTCCCTGTGGGTGACCCTCTGACCCTCCCCTCCCCCTTTCTCCGCCCCTTCCTGTGCCCTCTCCTGCATCCCTTTATCCCTAGGGGGCAGAGAAGCACCTCTAGGCCTCTCTGCTCCACCCCCTGTGCTCCTCTCCCTCCCTGTGGGTGACCCTCTGACCCTCCCCTCCCACTCTCTCCGCCCCTTCCTGTGCCTTGACCTGCATCCCTTCATCCCTAGGGGCAGAGCAGGCTCCTCCCTTTCTGTCTTTGGGAAACCTGGAGGCAGGGTGTGTCTGAGGGTCTCCTGAGAGAGGTAGGCCTCATTTCTGATCCTTCTCCATCCTCTAAGTGGGAGGGCCAAGGGTCTGGGGTGTGGGGGGGCAGGGCCCCAGAAGGAGCTTCCGGAGGCACTGAAGCCACTATGGCTGCGTTTCCTCAGGGGTCTGAGTGCGAGGTGCTGCCTCGGGCCTCTTCGGCCTGCTGAGGCCTTTACTACTTGGCCCTGGGGGCCTTTGTCCAATCAGAAATGGGGAGGGGTGGTTTCTGCAGGGCATTCAATAGGGGATGATTTAATATAATATGACATATTATGTGATTATTATTTTATTTCATTGTTATATAAATGATACTTCATGAAGGGCTGAGGGTTCTGCATTTAGGTGAATTATGGAAAAATAGGTGGAAATGTTATTTATTGATGAATGAGGAAGTAGGTAAAGAGACCCCCTGATTTCCCTAGGGCTTGGCTTGAGAGAGGTGGCCCACCACTGAGGTAGGTGACCCTGTGTGTATTGCTGGCCAGGAGGGGAGGCCCTAGCTGCTGCCTGGGGGCTCACTCCTCCCCTCAGCCACCTATTCCCATTGACTTCCTGCCAAGAGCCCCCTAAAATGGCCGTGTACTGCTGGGCCCTTAGACTGCACAAAGGGTCTTTTTTTTTTTTTTTTGGCAATTGGGATTAAGTGACTTGCCCAGGGTCACACAGCTAGTAAATGTCAAGCTTTTGGTGTGAGGTGCGATTTGAACTCAGGTGCTTCCTGACTTCAAGGCCGGTGCTCTATCCACTGCACCACCTAGCTGCACCTCTACAAAGAGTCCTGCAGAGAGTCCATCCGTCCAGGACTAGGGCAGAAAGAGACAGGCTGATCGTCCTCCCCCAGACCTCAACCCTCCTTCCTCTCAATGTGCCCAGTCAACGGCAGACAGAACATTGAAGTGAGAATCAGGAAATCTGGGTTCTGGCCCCAGTCCTGCAATGAATGAACTTTATGAGATCAAGGATAGCATTTAGCCTCTCAGAGCCTCAGTTTCCCCTTCTAGAAAATGAATTGGTAGGACTCGGTGATCTCTAACTGACCGAAGTGGAACCTTAGAGCCCAAAGAATTCATGCCTCAGCACTTGCCTTAATGGACATCTGGGAGCTGAACATTTGGACTCAGTCACGCCTTCTGAGGACATCGGTTTTCTCTTCCCTCAGGCGAGGGCAGGTGGTATCCCCCAGCATCATGTAAGCTCCCTGAAGGCCAGGACGGTTTTGTTCTTCTCTTTGGCTCCCCAGGACCTACCTCGCCCAGTGCCTGGCACAGAGTAGGAACCGTCTACGTGCGGATTTTGCAGTCGGCAAGGAGAGTGTGCGCTCGTGGCCGTGGGCCCCTCTGTGCTCTCTCAGGCTGGGAACCACCCTAGGGCAGGGGAGGTCCCTCTTGTGGCTCTCTTGGCTTGGCAGAAATGCCACTCATTTATACCCGTGTCTGTTTTTGTTCCAGGTTTGTCCAAGACAAAGACTTAGCTGGCAGAAGACTCCAAAGGCAAGTTACCCCTACCAGTGAAAGCCCAGATGCGGTGGGTGGCAAGACCCCTGGGGGCCAGGGCCCCTGGTGTCTGTAGCCACTCAGCGTACTGTCCTGCCCAGGCCTTCCTCCTCTCCCTCACTCCCCTAGAGAGCTCTCTGTTTTGTAGGGAGGCCCTGGGGACAGTCCCAGTCTGAGCCCAGCTCCTGTCCTTGCCCCAGAGGCAGGGGCTTCTATCTCAGCCTCTCTGCCCAGCCCTGCCCCTGCTCAGTGGCCTCTGGAGGGGCTCAGTCAGCATCTGAGGATTCTCAGTGAAGGGCCCAGATGAAAGGGGTGCGGCCTTTCTCCAGAGAGGGAGGGTCTCCCTGATCACTGGGCCCTGGCAGGCCTTCTTAGCCATTTTTGGGCCTCGTACCCCAGGGCCAGTCTGGCGAGGCCCAAGACTCCCCTCTCAGGATCATCTTGGTTTTCACTCAAAGAGGAAGGAAATGCTAACTTGCACTTAGGAGTTAGATCCCAAAGTGTCAAGTTAGGGAGCCTTGCTTTCAGCCTCCCCTTTGGAAAGCTTTCAGGTCTTTCTGTTCCTGTGGACTGAACCATCACAAAACCCAGGGGAAGGAGGAAGGGAAGGAAAGCAGCCTTTCTTCCCACCTACAGGGGGCCAAGCACTATGCTAAAGTCCTTTAGAAGTCGCTCATTTGAGCTTCACCACAGCCCTGGGAGGCAGGTTCTGTTCTTACCCCCATTTTACAGTTGAGCAAACTGAGGCAGACAGGTGACACGGCTTGCCCTGGGTCCCACGGCTGGCAAGTGCCTGAGGCCGGCTCTGAACTCATAGCTGTGTTAAATGCTGGTGTTTTGGAAGGAAGAGATGTTGTGTTTAACCAAGCAGTGACAAAATGGCCCTGCCCATCCTTCTGCACATTTTCTTTCCCCAGCTGGACATTTAAATGAAATGTGCTCTTTTTTTTGTCAGGTGATAACCCACCATTCCCCCTTCACTCCCCTAATGGAAACACCGGCTTGTACAGACCTATAGGATTGCACACACCGTGTAAACCTGCTGTCTGACCACGTGCACTTAAGTTAATTTCGATGAAGAAATAGACTGTTTCCCCCATTTGTTATCACCCCCATCCATCGCCCCATTTCTGAGTACAAGCCCTCCCTTATGATAAATCAGTCTGGCCTCAAAGCCCCAATCCACATGTTGGCAAGTCAGGCCTTGGGCAAGCTACCACCTTTCAGGAGGCCCCAGGCCAGGGGCCTCAACCTCCAATAGAAAAGGTTCCCTGAGGGCCAAATTGACTTAGAAAGGCAGAAATGAGCATCATCTACTTTGAAGTTTGTTGTTTATTCTGCTCAGCATTTCCCAATTCCATTTGAATCTGCTTTGGGCTTGCCCCACCTCAGGGGACTGTTCGACCTCTGCTCTAAGCAAATCTCTAAGACTCTAAGTCCACAGAACGTACCCGCCTCCAGACGGAGGAGTAAGGGGGAGTTTTCTCCCCTGGACAAGGACATCACAGCCCAGCCTGCCTGGAGAGCTTCCATTGCTTTATCGGAAAACTGCCTCTTCGTCTCCTTTGGCCTCTCTTCTAGGAGACCAGGTCTTTCCTGCCCTCCTCCACCCCATGACAATGAAGGCTGAGTAGCTTCATCCACTGAAGGCCCCGCCCCAGCCCCATGCCTCCGCTTTCAGTAGGAGAAAAGCTGGGGGGCTGGGGAGGGGGGCTCCCAGGGTAGGCTTTCTCCCCACCTCCTCCTGCCTTGCTCCAGAGAAAGCATGGTTACCCCCACCCAGCTGTGACGGCTAAGGTTTCCCTTACAGTGAAGGGGGTGGAAGAAATGTTGTTTGAAAAGGTCAAGGATAGAGGAGAGCTGGTAGTCCACAGAGCAGGGCTTCCACAAGAGCAGCAGCGATGGCCCACGTGATGGCCTAGAAGGGTTGGAGTAACGTGGAAATAGAGGAAGAGGAGGAGGAGGAAGCAGCAGTAGGCTGGCCTTTCCACCCAGGGCTGGGAGAATGGCTGGCCGAAACCAGGGAGCCAGGGCAACGGGGGGGATAGCCAGACCCAAACCAAGAGGAGATTTGTGGAGAGGACAGGGGACCCCATTCAGGCCTTAGTGTCAGCTGCTTTGATGGTCCTGGTACAGAGCTGAAGTCAGGTCGGGGAATGAGAATTGGGGAGCGGGGAAAGAACAAACAAAGGAGAGAGAGGAGATGTGGCCTTTGCCAGACCTGGCTCTTCCTTTCAGGTGACCTCCTCAGTCTGGTTTCTCCCATCCTCCCTCTCCCTCCTTCCAATGTCCCTCTGCACCAGTATAGATACACTCGCCTCTCGTGACCTTATGTGCCTGCTGTCCTTCCCAAGGTCCTGCAGCAAGGCAGCAAGAGAAGCTGCCTTCCAGTGACCGAAAATAATTACCCGTTCTCAGATGCCTAAGAAAAAGGAGGATGTGGCTGTGAGGAAATCGGCACGCCTTATGATGAAGCAGAAGAAGCAGGCCAAGGAGCAGGTGGTCAAAGAGGAGCCTGAGATGAGAGTTGAGGCCACGCAGGAAGCAAATGTTCAGAAGAAGAAGTCGACCAGTGGGGAGGTAAAAGCCATGTGCAGCCCTGCAGGGAGCGGTGGTAGCAAGATTGTTTCCCCTGTCCAGACCGGCCCCAGTGGTCAGATTGCCTCCCAAGTCCAGGCCAGCTCTAGTGGTCAGATCGCCTCCGATGTCCAGACTGGCCCCAGCACCCAGATCGCCTCCAGTGTCCAGACTGGTTCCAGTGTCCGGATTGCCTCCCGTGGCCGGCCCAGACTCCGCGTCCTGACCGGCTCCCGCCTCTCTCTAGCCTACCGACGCCAGACCAGCCCCACTGACCAGATTGTTCTTCACAGCCAGACCAGTCCCTCAGAAGAGAGCAGCCCCCGTGGCCGTGGCCGTGGCCGTGGCCGTGGCCGCGGCCGCGGCCGCAGCGTCACCGTTTCCCCTGGCCGAAGCCTCACTGGTTCCTGTAGCCGAGGCTGCCCCCGTGGTCGAGGCCGGCCCCGTGGCCAAGGCCGCCCCCGTAGCCGAGGTCGCCCACGTGGCCGAGGCCGCCCCCGTGGTCTAGCCACCTCCCACAGCCAAGCCAGCCCCTATGGCCAAGCCGGCCCCCACGGCCAAGTAGGCCCCCACGACGAAGCCGGCCCCTACACCCAAATCAGCCCCCATGGCCAAGGCAGCCCCCACGGCCAAGCCGGGCCATACGACCAAGCTGGTCCCTATGACCAAGCCGGGCCCTATGCCCAAGCCATGCCCTATGACCAAGCTGGTCCCCACTCAGCTCAACCACCTGTGAAGCTCCCACGAGGCAAGAAAGGGATGAAGAAGTATGACCAGAGAGGCAGGCTGAATCTGAATGGAGAAGACCTCTGTGACTGCCTGGAGAGAGAGTGCGTGGGCTGCTTCTATCCATGCCCCAAGTGCAAGTCCACCAAGTGTGGGCCCACCTGCCGCCGCAACCGGAAGTGGATTTATGAGGCCATTACCAACGAGGGCGGAGATGTGGTCAGCACCTTCCCATTTCCCCATGCTAAGTAAGGGCCTGAGCTCCACGTGGCTGTGTGTCTCTGTGTGTGTGTCTCGTGTGTCTCTGTATGTCTCTGTGTCTCTGTGTGCCTCTGTTCCTGGCTCAGCATCCCTGCCTGGAGAGGAAGCTTGGCTGGCAATCCTGACTCCTGTGGCTCCCCAGCAGTATTGCCATGAGCACCACGGGAGCCTGCCCTCCCTCTTCTCCCAAATGCCTTCACTCTGAGCCCAGGCGTAGGTAAAAATGCAGGTGAAAACCAAGAGGGCTTCCACCCATAGGAGACCCCAAGCGGCCATCTTGCCTGAGATTTCCTGCCGACGTCCCTCCTAAAGCTGACTCTTTTGGAACTTGAGAATTTCCTTCCACGGAAGGTGGAATGTGGTTCCTGCCCTGCCCCCCTTCCAGCTGCAGCCATCCCTAGAGCCAGGCCAGATTTCTCCAGGTTCCTAAAACTCTTTCCTGTTTCACTTAGTGCTAGATATACAAACAGGAAAAGAAGAAAGACAAAAGTGATCTTTCTCCCATTTGTCATGTGTTTGTTGTCACGTCTAGATGGTCATGTAGGTGTCTGTCCTATGTTGTGTCTGTGATGTTTTCTATATGGTATCTGCGATTGTAGAGTTGGACTTTCTGACAACTACCACTTGCCTAACGGCTTTTTGGCTCTCATCTTGTTGCAGGTATTAAAGGAGTCTGGATTCTCCTGGGACTCTTCTCAGAGTCTCCCTTCTGCAGTTTATGAAGTGGAAAAAAATATATATATACATATATATTTAAGATAGTTTTGAGATTCCACAACAGAAGAATATATATTGTTAAAGTGAAAGCAGATAAAAAGAATAAAAAAAGTTTGTGAAGTTAATTTATCGTTGCCTTCATTTCAGAACAACAGGGAGGGAGTAGGCTGCACCCTCTCTGTGCCAGGCACTGTGCTAATCGTTGGGGACCCATGGGCAAAGCTCAAGCAGTCCCTGCCCTCAAGGAGTTTTCTTTCAGCCCACGTAGGCACCTGGCAGATGGAGAAGGGCGCTCCAACAGTGGTCCTCTGGAGAGGCCTCTCCTGTGGCCCAGCATGCCCAGCTACACCTCTCTGGTTATTCCCCTGAAACAGTGTTAGAGACTGCTAGGCTCTCACTTCCTCCCCAAGGCCGACACAGACACAGACACAACACACACACACACACACACACACAGAGAGAGAAAGGGGGGTGAGGGAGAAGAAGGGGAACAGCAAAGATCCATGGGGATGCACAAGAGGGACAGAGAGGGAAGGGGCTTGGTGAGCTGGCCAGAGTCCACGCAGGACCAAAACAGGGTGGGTAAGGGCCTGAAGCTCTGTCTTGGGCAGATGGGGACAGTGACCCCGGAGAAAGGTGAAGCATTGTGACCTGCTCACCCTCTTCCAGGGGAGGGTGGGCAGCTCTCATTGGAGGGCTGGCTTGTGGGAGAAGAATGACCCTTGTTTCCTTTGGCCCAGGGAGTCAAGCAGGCGGGATGGCTGGAAATTGCAGGGGGGAATTTGGCCTCCATGGGAGTGGAAGGGGTGGTCCCTGGAACTGGCTAGTTCCTGCACACTGGAAGTTTTCAAGCCGGGTGGGATGCATGATGCATGCTTCTAGCCAATTTACCTTTAAGGCAGAAACACTGCTCACTTACACCCTTTCCTCGATGACTAAACACTGAAACCTCTCCACACGTGCAATCCAGCTTTATTAGTGAAATAGAGCAAACCATATGAAGAACAGCCAAGTCTCAGAAGGAACCATTAGCCTGCTTCCTAGAAGTCACAGTAAGTGTCTTTTCCACGGGTGGTCATGGCAAGGTACCCTCTGCCCAAACAGAGGCCATGTGTCTCCCCCGAAGTGGGGGGCCAGCAAGTCTCCCTACATCTGCCCAGCCCACAAGCAAACACTGGCTGCTCAAAGCTCGGGTGTGTCTCAGATTGGCCCTGGCAGCAGGCTGCTGGCTGGGGCCTCCAGGGCCTTCGCCTTGTGCTGTCCACGCGTGCTCTCCTTTGTTCACTACATACATCACTGGAGTGGTCGTTCGACACGTAAGATGATGATAAAGTATTATATTTATCAGGTTTTTTTCTTCCTTTGGTGGTCCGTCCTCTCCGAGGGTCTGCATGCACTTACCAACTGATGTGTCGTCTTCTGGATCCTAACACACAAACAATTATCTTCTACTGAAA